ATGTGATCAGAGAAAAGACCTCTGGACCCCGAACCAAGCAAATTTCACACAGTCTACCACAGAAAGATGTTATTAAGTGTATTCATTTAATACAAAAAGCAAAGATGCGAAAATGATGAAGACCAGATTGCAGAATCAGTGCCCTAAACTCAGAACCTAAACCTCCTGTATAATACATATTTCAGAAATATCAAGAAGTGGCTAGGTGGTGCACATCTTTAATCCCAGCACTTGGGAGGCAGAGGCAGAGGCAGATCTCTGAGTTTGAGGCCAGCCTGGTCTACAGAGGGAGTTCCAGGACACCCAGGGCTATGCAGGAAGACCCTGTCTCAACAAAACAAAACAAAATGAAAGAAATATCAAGAAGCATAAGGCAAGTTAGAAGATCAAGTTTTAGCATGAAGGAAAGATTTGAGCTGATGAAAAGAAATGAGGATAAGGAAGGAGTTGGGAAGCATGAAGCAATTGGAGAACATATGATAGATACAGAGACAAGGGAGAAACAAGCATAAGACTAATGTGTGCTTCTGTAGCACCAAAGAGACTTGAAAGATGGTAGTTCTCCTGATTGAAAGAATTGTTCAGTTTTTACATGAAAGAGGCTCGTTAAACCAAAAAAAAAAAAAAAATTGAATGAATTAGGGTGCAGAGCAGAAGATACTGTGAAAGTAACACAAACAAGCGGAACAATGGGAGAAGAGAAATGGAGAAATGGAATTGGACCCCTCAAAGCCTCAGCCCTGTCAGCTAACCCCAATGTTGAGATTTGTTCAGCATCTTCATGAGATAAAGCTTAAAAGAACCTCTACACACCAGTGAGTCTGCTCTCACCCATAGCTCTCCCCTCCTTCAGGAAGCTAGACCTACACCATCCAATGCAAATGAAATCTAAAAACCAAAGGGACTCAGTCAAAACAAAGACAACAGCAAACAGAAGACAACCACTTTCTCTTTTTTTAAATAGATCTGTAAAACATGGACAGGCAAAGGGAATAATACTCAGCAGTAAAGCTCTGGGAAAATGAAATACTGTAGAAAAACAAAACAGAAGTCGAGATGAAGTTGGGAAAAAAACAACTCTTATTCAAACAAAAAGACAAAGATTTTTTTTGTATGTGAAATGTAAGATAACCAGGGATAAAGAGATGATTGGAAGTTCTTCTAGAGAGTGGGAAAAGCATATTACTTGTAGAAATGGAGGGCTAGAATGGCACTGAACCTCTGGGTGGGAACCAGGACCCAAGGGAACGATGCCTTCCAAAAATCCGAGGAAAAGTATTTGTCGCAATCATAATAAAGTCATTTTCAGATTTAAAGCATGTCCTCAAAGCTATTTTTGAGAGGGGAAGGGAAAGTGATGGGGGATGGAGGAGAGAATGGGTCAAGATGTGACTCCGAACCCAGGCAGTAGATCCCCGTAGCATCAGAACAGAGACAAAGAACTTCAAAGATGACAGTGCAGGATCCTCAGAGGACAGCAGCTGTCAGCAGGCCGAGAGCAGCCAGGTTGGAGTGAGCCAGGCACCTCACAAAGAGAGGGGAGGAGAAAGAGGAAGCCAGTGTCTAGAGCTGTTGAGGGAGTGTCCTTCTTAAATATTTAAAGGAGAGTTAGTGACAGGCAGATGAACAGGTGGAAGGAGGGGAAGAGACAGTTCTCTTAGCAGCCTAGGGAAACTGAAAAGTGTATTTACTAAGAGAAAAGACTTGATCGTGGTTTGCTCTGTGGTTGGTGTTTCAGAGTTATGATAAAAACACTTGTCCATTCAACTGAAGGGGGCGAGTTTAGTACTGAAGAGATGACAGAGGGAGACGTGCCTGTGTTCATACAGAGAGCTGTGGATAAAAGGAGCTATGTCTTCTACAATAAAATGCAGAAAGTAATGAAATTTTGAAATACAAGACATGAATGTGTGTATGTGTGTGTGTGTATAATTGGAAACATCACTATAGGGTGTAGAAATCAGATAGGGGAAGAGATTTATTCTAATTGTAGTCTTTGACTTTAAAGACATCACATATTTTTGATAAATACATTTTCTTCAAATTCAGACTACAGAATTTTTATAGTTTTATAGGTCTTGGCTCCATTTTTTTATGTTTATTGTATGTAGGATCACAAACATTCATGGCTACACCAAACAACCTTTTAGATGTTTGCACTTTTTATTTTAATAAACAGAAGTTGGTTACAAATTGCTGGAATAATGAAACAATGTGGAGCGCCTGTGTCTTTCCCCCAGTGGCTCTGGTCACCTTGTTCCTGTGGTTGACATCCTTCAGTGGTGTCTGTGGCATGACTTTAATGTCATCTTAACCATAGGTCTGCTGCCCAGAATGATTGCAGTCCACAGATCATTAGGAAGGTGTAGAAAAATTGGAACCTTCACATACGACTTGTGGAAAAATCAGATGTTTTAGCTGCTTTGGGAAACTGTCAGTTCCTCAAATAGCAGGTGACCCAGCTGTTTCCTTCTAGATATATTCCCAAGAGAGATGAGAACATGTATCTACACAGAGATTTGCACACAAATGTTCCTAACAGCATTATTTTTAATAGCCAAAAGGCAGAAACAACCCAGATGCTCATGAACTATTGGATGGAGAAATAAAATCTGCAGTTATCATACAACGGAGTATGATCCACTGACCTGAATGAAGTATTGATATATGCTACACTGTAGATGAACCTTGAAAAGAGTATTCTAAGTGAAAGAAATCAGTAAAAGAATTCGTGCCATTTGAGCTCACTTATGTGAAATATTTAGAATAGGCAAATCCATAGACATAAAGTAGCTCGGTTGCTTAGGGCTATGTGGAAGTCAAAATGGAGAGTGGTTGCTGATGGGTGGAGAGTTTCTTTTTATAGTGATTAAAATATTCTAAGTATGGCTGGTGGTGATTATGTAACACTGACTATCCTAAAAACTATTGCATTATAAACTTGATAAGTAAGTTATGTGGCTGGAAAGGGATTTCCTGGGGTTTTCTGTTTGTTTGGTTTGTTTTTGCTATACTCAATGAAGTTGTTGTTTTAGTATATCCCAGGTCGGACTAGAGCTTGCTCTGTAGTCCAAGCTAACCTTGAACTATCCCTTCTGTCTCAGCCTCCTTAGTGCTGGAGCTAGAGGTGTGAGCTGCCACACCTGGTTTGATGTTGTATAAAACTCTAACCCACGGGCTGGAGAGATGGCTCAGAGGTTAAGAGCACTGGGTACTAGAGGTCCTGAGTTCAATCCCCAGCACATGGTGGCTCACAACCATCTGTAATGAGATCTGGTGCCCTCTACTGGTTTGAAGACATGCATGCAGACAGAACACTGTATACGCAATAAATAAATCTTAAAACAAACAAACAAACAAACAAAAAACCCAAACCCTCTAACCCACCTCTCCAGCCTGTTTCCCACCTTGCTCTTGGCCTCATCCAGCATCACATGTGTCCGCTTACCCAGTGCATTTTCCTAGCTTAAGGTCTCACTGCTTATTCCTTCAAGCCCTGATGACCTGCTTCCTCTTCTGGGAAAGCAGAAGAGTAAACTCGCCAGCACAGTCAAGTCTGCTCCGAGTCTCTCCCACACTCACTTCCCGTCTCCAGCACATTGCACTCTGTGTTGTGGTGTAGATGAGCTGTGTGTTAATGTCAACACTTGTCAGCCACAAACCCAGTCAAAACTTACCTTTGAGAAGTTACCTGGACAGTGCAAGTCTCTTTTTATATTTAACTCAGCCAGTTTATTTCCTCTTCAAAATAGGAAGTTTTCCCTTCTGCTGGGTGCTAGTTGAAACTGGCTAGCATTTACAAGTATTGCTTCAAATCCAGAGCAGTAAGGTCCAGCAATAATACAAATTTGAATACATGGTGATTGTCTACCACTTCCTCTCAACCCCAAGTTTTAACAGAAACAAGACTCTTCTAGGTGTGGGACTGTCAGGTGGACAGAGTTAGTTTATGGCAGACATTTGACTGTCTGTAATTCACTATTGTACATTTTGTGTGCAATAATTGGAGGGCTTCTGTGAAAATGCTGCTGCTACTTTTTATTAACTTCAATTAACTCCACCATGCATTGAAAACAATCAAATCTTTGACCCCACTTACTGCATTGCTGAGGCCTTTACTGTAACTAGACACATGCTCTTACATGTCCTAGTTATATAGCCATATAGTCATGCATAAGAATGACTTAAGTATTCACATTATAAGGCTGAAATCAAGACCTGAACTATGAGAGGAGCAAGAGTTCTGTCCTTCCCTTTACCCTAATGTAGGAATAGTAGGCAAAAAGCACTGGGTTTTTTTTTTTGTTTTTTTGTTTGTTTGTTTGTTTGTTTGTTTGTTTTAAGACAGGATCCCACTACATAGTCCATTCTGGCTTTGAAGTCACTACTTACTTGAGCACCGTCTTGCCCTGAGCACTGGGTTTATAGGTGTGTGCCACCATGTCCACTATCATGGGATCCTTTGAAGTTCTTCTCTGTTCCTTGTCAGATAGATGAAGTCATATTGATTGAAATATGGCATGAAGAAGATGAGTCGAGAAAACCATCCTACATCTGTATAATGAATTACTATTATAGCTGTTCCTGCAGAAAACAAAGCTAAATTGGGCTTATAGCATGATGTAGTTAAATCTTATTTGGGAATATACATACTTACACACATTTCGTTTATGTAGATATGTGTATATACTTTAAGATAAAATTGTGTGCATATCTGGAGCTGCACAGAGTCTTTCTGGAGAGGTATATCATAATTTGAAAATGACAGTTGTCTGTGGGGAAAGGACTCAGGAGGTGTAATAAGAGGACTTAGTTGTTACTCCAGTGATCTTCTGTATTGTTTGTCTCTCAAGTGCACATACATGACATCCTATGTCAACTGTAGTTGATGACGTTAAGTGAATGAAAAACATGTGTAGCATCGATTTGTGCTAGTGCTTGTGTGATTTTCTAGCTATTATAATATAAATTGCCAACAACTTGTGTATTGTGTCTTGCAGAGTTACATCCATTTGGGAGAATAGTCTTCAGATCACTACAATTTCTAGCTTTATAGGAGCATGGCTTGGAGCATTTCCTATTCCACTGGATTGGGAAAGACCATGGCAGGTTGGTTTTAAAGACTTGAAACTAGCAAAATGCATGCTGGCACAGCGGTAGAAAAGCTGATGGGAAGAGCTGGTACCTGACGCGAGGTATTTGGTTGTTCAGTAAAGTAGGGAACGCAGTGCAATCTAGGTGGCTGCTCATTGGCAGCTGACCCAGTGCCATAGGCTTTCATGTTGGCCTGGATCTACCATTCTACATTCTACATGTACAGCTCTGTTTTTTCTATATGCCCAGGAGAATGTTTCTTTTTAAACTGTGTGTATATGTGTTGCATGCATGTATGTGCTTATATGTATACAGATGCATGTGCTTATGCATTTATCATGTGTGGAGGCCAAAGGTTGGCATCCAGTGCCATCTTCTGTTCCTCCTCACCTCAGTTTTTGAGACAGGGTCTCTCACTGAGCCTGGAGATTACTGATTGGCTAGGCTGGTTAGCCATCGAGGCCCTGGGATCCTCCTGTCTTCTGCTTCCTGTACTGAGATTACAAATGTATGCCACCTTGCCTGGCTTTTCACATGGGTGCTGGTGATCCAAACTCAGGACCTCATCTTGCAGAGCAGCCCCTCCCCAGTCCCTGCTCTGAAACTTTTAAAAGCTTATTTTGCCAATACATACAGGAGGCTTTTATTTTTTTCCTCTTTCTTTTTTAATTATTACATTTCTGATCTTAGATTATATTTTCTTAACTACACTGATTGCTACATTGAATACTTACTTTGAACTATATCACAAAGCATATAGCAAAGTCATTTCTAAAGCAAGCTTTGTTACATTTTTCTTTATCTCACGTGCACATATGTCTGTGGGTGCATGCGTGCTGGAGTGCATGAGTAGGACTCAGGAGAGGGTCTCACCTTCCACCAGGTGAGTCTAGGAATCAAACAGCTTGTTGGGGCTACACACCGAGATGTCCTGCAAGCTCCCAAGTAGTTTTAAAAATAAAGGCAAGTGATCTGAGAGGAAGCTTGTTAGTACATGGGATACTACAGAGCCATATCTCCACCTCTTGGTGCTTTCAGACAAGGTCTCATTGTATAGCTTAGGCTGACTTTGAACTTGTTCTGTTATCCAGGCTGGCCTGAAACTTATGATCCTTTTGTTCCTGCTTCATGATTAGTAGGATTACAGATATGAGTCACCACACCAAGCACCATTATCTTAATTTTAAAATATAGTTGTTTTGAGACAGGGTCTTATGTAGTCCATGCTGGCCTTGAATTCATTTTGTATTCGAGGATGGCCTTGAATTCCTGATCCTCGTACCTTTCCTTCCCTAGTATCAGAATTACAGGTATGTCACCATGTTCTAGTATTTTCTGTTGCTGTGATAAAACACTGACCGAAAGCAACTTAGGGGAGGGAAATATTTATTTGGCTCACACTTCCGGTTACAGTCCGTCATTGAGGGAGGCCAGGAGAGGAGCTCATGGCAAGAACTTGAAACAAAAACCATGAGGAACACTGCTTGCTGGCTTGCTTGTTCCCAGGTTCATGATTAGTCAGCTTATGGGATGGTGCCACCCACAGTGGATAGGCCCTCCTGCATCAGTTAATAGTCAAGATAGCCCCAAAGACATGCCCATAGGCCAGTACAAGCTGAGAAATCCCAGCACAAGCTGAGGCTTTTCTTCTCAGATGACTCTAGGCTTCATCAAGTTGAGAATGAAGATTAGCCAGGACATGACATACTTTGTCAACTTGACACACAAACACATCACTATGACATCAAACCTTTCCTTTTTTTGTCCCCAAGATCTTGTTTCACTAATTTTTCATTGTTTTATACTATGCTACTTTATTATATAGTTATTTTATAAAACAATAAACTTACTGTTGATCATTTAGTTTATTGTCGGTGTTATAAATTATAATAAACACTGCTTTGATAGACACTTTTGAATCTATAGCATCAAGAATTTTTCCTAAGATAATTTCTCCTAAAAAGAACAATGGTATTAAAAGTAAGTGTACATTTTTTCCAACATGAAGAGAGTATTTTCTGGTCCCAAGAGAAAATATATTTGCCTTTTAAATTTAAGCTGTATTAATAATTTTTATAGAAAGTTAAAATTAAAATTAGCTTTTTCTCCCTATCCACTGAGGGAAAACAGCCATTTGTATTCTGATGGTAACTTGCAGCTCTCTCCATGCATACTGCTCATAATGTACATGTTCTTTTTAATCTGCTTCCCCTCTAAACTTTATATTACGGTGTTACCACATGTTAGTGAAGAATTATATAACTGGATTTTTATTTTCTTAAAATAACATATCAGGTTTTGTTTTTTTTTTTCTTTTTTTTCAAAACAGGGTTGTTCTTTGTAGCCCTGACTGTCCTTGAACTTACTGTGTAGACCAGGCTGGCCTCAAACTCATAGAGATCCGTCTGCCTCTGCCTCCTGAGTTCTGGGATTAAAGGTATGTACCACCACCACTTTGCAATATATTAGTTTTTAATGAATGGGCATTTAGATTGTTTTCCATTAACTGGTTAATGGAAATTAATTTTAATTAATTAATTAATTTTATTATTGTCATACTTAAGCAAATGTCTGCATTTGCCTAATTCGTAGGGTAAACTCCTAGGTAACAAATGGTTGAAGTTAAATTTTTCATACATGCCTCACTTATAGGACCTGAATTTTCTGTTGGTCATAACTACCTATTTTTAGGTCCATTTTTGTGCCTTCACTTAGATGTTCTCTCTCTTGGACAGTTGAGTTTTTCTTTCACATTCAGTAATTCTGGTGAGCTGCCCTCCCCATGTTGATTGATTGTTATATGGTAGAAGTCTCGGGAAGGTTGGAGAATATGGTAGTACTGATGTCCTTGTGGAGGTTTTAGTGCTCATGAAGCAAAGCCTGCCTCTTGCCATGCTGATGGATTGTATACTGTAGAAGTCTCGAGAAGGTTGGAGAATATGGTAGTACTGATGTCCTTGTGGAGGTTTTAGTGCTCATGAAGCGAAGCCTGCTTCTCCCCATGTTGGTGATCGCCTGGCATCTCGTCAATCATCCATACTTTGCTTCTTCAACTGAAGAGTGGTAGTGACTTAAAGTTTGGAGGACAAACTTATTGAAGAAGGCACATGAATTGTTTCAGACTACTAGATTCATGACTTTCAGTTAATATAATTAAATCTAAAAATAGAATATTAATAAAACTAAAGCACAGTGGGACATCAACTTGAACGAGGTGGCAAAATGTCAGTTTGTATGTACATTACCTACTTTAGTGTATAAAAGTTTGATCTTACATGTTTAGAACTTCCCTGCAAGATTACAGAAATAGAAGCCAAATTGTGGAAAGTAGATGTGCTGATTAAAGCATGTGTTTGGGTTTGCTTAGAAGACATTATTCACAGTTCAGTTGTCCATTTTTAGATTATTCAGGGTTTTTGCTACTAATTTCCCCCCTCTGCACTTACTTACAATAAAGAATGAGCTAGATTCAAATTAACATCAAATTTTTTAAAATTATTGTAGTTTTCCCTTAACCTATGTCACTGGGAGGTGTGGCTTTGAGACAGGCTTTCACTCTGTAGCCCAGACTTGCCAAGGCTGGCCTCGAACACCTGATCCTCCTTTCACCACATCCCATGTACTGACGGAATTGACTTTTTAATTTTTGTGCGTGTTTGTAATTACACATGTACTACTGTACATATAGAAGTCCGGTGATGAGGCCTCATTGTCATGGCATACCCCAGGCTAGCTGGCTGGCTGGCTCCCAGAGATCTCCATCTCCTGGGGTTACAGCTGCGTGGGCTGCCATATCCAGCTTGATGTGAGTTCTGGGGATCAGATCTCCTGTTCTTCTGTGACTAGCGCTTTACCCACTGAGCCAGCTTCTGAATTAGGGACTTTTAAAACACACTTTCTAGTTAGCTAATTTGAATATGTTCCAAGTCATTAGTCTTCATTATTGAAAACATTTCATTCAGCTGGAATACACTGGCTGTTGAATTTCATTGTTGGTTTTTAGAGTATTGCAAGTCAATGGCTGGCTTATTCACTGTAATCCTTTTAAAGTGTGATGCGTTCTAATGGCGGAAGAACAAAACTGACATATCTCAGAAGCTTTTAGTCAGTTTCCCACTTGCTTCTTTTTAGTTGTTTTCTAATAAACTAGAGAAGCGGTGAGGTTTTGTTTTGCCTCTCCACTTTCCTTTTCAGCAAACAAAGTTTTTGTGGTGCTCTTGTTGTTTTCCAGTAAGTCAGACTATACAGAACAAGACCTCACTGGCTCATGATGTTGACAGATCTGCCAGAGCAGCAGTAAAGCAGACAGGGGATAACGGCATTTCCTAAATGTGGAGATTTTGCTACAGCAAAACTTCATGAGATGATGCTACTGTATAAACTACTGTCTAAAACACAGCATGATATTAAAAAGAGAGTTTAGTTCTTTGTTCCTTGTAGCCCAACACACACTTGATACGTTTAAATTATGTTCAAAGCAAGCATCTCTGGGTTATGTTTTGCTCATATTTTGGAGAAACAGGAGCGTTTGGTTTCTTTAAAAACACACATGTACGAACACACAGAGCCTACAAAACCTGTCATGTTTTAATGCCATTTTCTCTACTTTGAATTCAAATTTGATTTTGTAGAATGTTCCTGTGGCCAGGCATTTGAGTTCTCATCGTCTCTTTTCTGTCTTGTTCTTTCTGCTAGCAGTCCTTGAGTGAGTTAATTTCCTTTTGATCCTTTGGTAGTTTGTTAAACCAGTTTATTGATTTACTTGAATGTCATATCATGTTCAATTCGGTGTGACATTTCAGACATGAATAGAACATGCGTCACTTGTAGGTCTCTATGTACCAGGTATGGGTCTTGGTGCTATGCCAAAGATAATGTAATCACGGCAACTGTAATACAAGGTAAATATCATTTCTGTTCTTAACCACCACAAAGGCAAAATGTGGGAGGGAAAAGTACACACTGTGTTCACTGTCTTTGACTGGCAAAAGGAAGATTTAGGATACAAACAAAAGCTCCACCTACACCATGATCCTCTTCACTGCTGGAGACTGAAACACAGTGTTTGTTTCTTTCTTTCTCTAAAACCGTAGCTGTGTTCTCTTTAGAATAGCTGAAGTATTAAATTGCTTTCCTTTCCCACATTGTTTCTTCTAAATGTCGGTATCACTCTGGTGATGTCTGTATTTTTAGATCAAAATTTAATACATTCATAGGAGCATATTTAAAGCTAATTTACAATGCCTTTGTGTCTGAAGATCTCATGCTTTTTCTTGAGTGCGTGCACATGTGTAGCATGTGATTATAGGAAGGTGACAGGTGTCATGTCCTATCATTCTCTGACTCGTTCCACTTACTTGTTCTGAAGACTTATTTATGCGTTTGTGTGTATCTGTGCACGTGTGTGCCCATGGAGTCCAGAAGGGACACTGGGTCCCTCAGCTGGAGGTACAGGTGTGTATGAGCCTCCAGATGTGGGTGCCATCAGAGTAAATAGGGAGAAACTGATGAGTCTGCAGAGGAAGGGTTACTAGCTCTCTCTTCAGACATAAAGGAAGTTCGTAAAACCCGGGCAAGCCAGGTCTGCGTCTCTCACAGGCTACTTTTTCGTGGGTTTATTGTCCTGAACAAATTTTCATTTGAATCACTTTTAGAATTCATCTGATGGGGCCTGCTAACCTACTGCCTTCCAATGATGAGTTACATTTCCTTTGAATCTGGTCTTGAGTGTGTTGTGCTGGCTACTCCTAATGCAAATGCTACAGTCTGGTGTAGGAACACAAATGAATCCAGCTCACGGCTCTAGTTTGCTAATGTAAATGGAGACGGACCTGCATTTCCTCTGACCTCCCTCCTACAAAGACACATAGTCAGGAAGTTACTTGTGGAGCGCTAAATTCCTGGCCAGGGCTCTGTCAAAAGGGACAGTCAACACTCCTGAACACATGCACGCATGCACCTAAGTTATCCTGGCCAGTCCCATCTCTCATGAAAGCCCTGCTTCGGTCCTGTCAGCACAGCTTACAGTGAGCAAAGAGCACATCTTTAACCCTGAACCATCTTCTGTAAGTCTTACTTTCCTAGTCTTGAAATGTGGAAATGTTAAACTATCCATTAACAGCTTACTTTAATACAGTATACTCCTTCAGTAAGGGAGATACCAATTAACCTAAAATCACTTAAGTCCTCACTCATTCAAATCAGCGATCTTTGTTTATCTCTACTCTAGCATTTTGCAATAACCAATTTAGTTATAATCCTACGATTTCTAGTTTCAAATTATGCAAGAATTTGTGATATTTGTGATTTTTAGAAAATGAATGTTTCATAAGTATCTTCTATCCTGGTGAAAAAGAATCGTCCAGTTTTTTACCTTGATATTTATTATTGCTGTATGTGTGAGCACCTGCAGGTACCAGGGTGTATACCAAACACAGAGACTAAGCACACAGCGGCTCGATGACTTGCCAAGGCCACGTTTAGTAAATCTAAAGCCAAGATTCAAATCCTGTCTGTCTAATACCAAAATCAGTGTTCTTAATCACTGTCGAGAAATACTTCACACTGTAGAGATGTGTTGGACCATTTCCTTTCCTAAGACATAAACAGTTCTTTCTAATTATTGCATTTTTTATACTGTTGTATTTTGTTAGATTACTTATTTTACGTGTTTGGTCTGCATGGATGTGCTGTGTGTCCACAGAGGACAGAAGTGGGTGTTGGAGCCCAGGACTGAAGTTAGAATGGTTGTGAGTCTCCATGTGGTGCTGGGATCCATACTCAGGTCCTCTGCAAGAGCAGCCACTTCTCTTCACTGCTGAGCCGTCTGCCCAGCCCACAGTGGTCTTTCAAACAGTTTTTATTTGACGTAACACACACATACACACACACACACACACACACACACACACACACACACACGCAGTTTAGTTATATATTTTGATAGAGCTTCTTTGCTTATGAAGATGAAATTATTTCTGAAAAAGAAAACCTTATTACAATTTCATTTGCCTAAATTCTACGCAAGATAATATAAAAATCTTTTTTTTTTTCTTATTACTTTAAGGAAACAGACGTTTTGCGGGGGGTTTAAGTGATAAAGAGAAAAAACCCACAATCACTTGATTTATAGGAAGGAACATAACGGTTCCCTAAAAGCAAGGCATTTTTATTTTTTGGGGGGGGATTGTTTGAGGGTTTTGTTTGTTTTTGTTTGTTTGGTTTTTTGGGGGCGTCTCTTGTTGAGACAGTATCTTGCCTTGTAGCCCAGGCTGGCCTCAAACTCATGGTGACCCTCCTTTGTTAGCCACCGTACCAGCCTCTGAAATACAAGGTCACAGGCAGGCACCACCAGCCCAGGGTGGATTTGGGAAATACAGTCTTGCTTTGCAACTGTGCTAGCTGGTTTTATGTCAGCTTGACACAAGTTAGAGTCATCTGTGAGGAGGGAACCTCAGTGGAGAAAACACTTCCATTAGATGGGGCAAGCCTGTAGGGCATTTTCTTAATTAGTGATGGTCCAGCCCATGCTGGGTGGTGCTATTCCTGGGTTCTCTAAGAAAGCAGGCTGAGCAAGCCAGTAAGCAGTGTGCCTCCACGGTCTCTAGATCAGCTCCTGCCCTGTTTGAGTTCCTGTCCTGACTTTTTTAGATGATGAATAGAGATGTGGAAGTGTAAGCCAAATAACCCCTTTCTTTCTTCCCCAAGTTGCTTCTGGATATGGTGACTGATTACAGCATGGTCACCCTAACAGCATCCTAGGTGTCTTCAAATTAACCATCCTCTTCCTCGGCCTCCCGAGTGCTGGGGCGAGGCAGGTGCCCTGTACATAACTAGGATGTTGGCGTTCCGCCCGCAGGGCTGCTCATCTCTCAAATGGGTTTTCCCTTTGAGAGAGAACCTTGCTGACTTTATCTACTGGCATTGCATTGTGTTGTTATGTAACATGAGATGTTTCTTCCATTTAGTGAGTGTTAAGAAACATTTGAAAATAAAAGAAACTCGATAAAATGATTGTCACTTTGGTGGCAAACCCTATGAATGACTTCCTTAATATGAATGTCTGTATTCTCAATTTCCTATTTTCCTTACATAAAACCAAGTAATTATATATAGCAACCTCAGATGATCATAATTTGGAGAAATATTTATATCTCTGCAGCTGAAACAGGTCATAGGTACTACAGATATACAGCGACAAAATATTATTGTATCATAAAGAATGTTAAATGTCTCTGTGAAATGGAAATAGTTTTAAATGGAAAACTTAAGATCTCATTATTAAAATATAATCAAACCAGGCTGATTGGACAAGTTGGATGAATTCTGTGCTGTGCTGTGGTTTTATACATTTTGAAGCAATTGTAAGAAAGCCACAAGAAGCCACTGAGGGGAAAATATTAGCAGTTAAGGACTCGTGTGTCGCAGGAGAGTCACACCAGCCCTCTTGTAGGCACAAAACCTCGACCATCACTAGGGAACCATGTGAAAAGTTGGGACATTTTATTTTGCTGATAGCATGGATGTCTTGAGTTGAGTTTTTACATAACAGTGAATTGCTGAGTGTTCCAAGCCTTAACCCCTTATAGGAGAAAAAGGTTTAAACCCACATTTATTTCATTTTTCATACTCTTCAGAAGTGAAATATGGCAACCGTCTAAAGGATGTGTGCAAGTGTGTGTGTGTGTGTGTGTGTGTGTGTTTGAGAACAGTGAACCACACTGAAGTCACAGAGTGATTAAAACAGATTTTGGTACCCGAAATCAGAATTTGGCTGGGAGCCCCAGGGATTGCTACTCTTTCCTCACTCTGACTGACAGAGAGCTTTTTTGGGGGTGCAGGTGCTCACGCATTGACAGAGGTGAGCAGTCTCAAAGCAGAGGGAAGGGGACTAAATAAAAACTACTAAGGGAAGAAGTTGAGTGCTTTCCATAAATAGTAACTGTGCATTTTATTTTATTTATGACCCCATACGTTAGGAAAGGGACGCTGTTGAAGTAACAATCATTGAAAAAGCAACAACCAACAAACCAGTATTTAATTTGGTATTTAAAACCAATAATTAAAACTCAAATGGAAGCAGTGTCTAAAGTAACTAAGATAATTCATAACAAATAGCACAAACTCAAGCTGTACTTATTGGAAATATGATAATTCATCGCAAGTAAGCTACAATGTACCTGTGAGGATAGAGTAAGGGCACACATTAGCGAAGTTCTACTAGATTTCCAGATTCCCCTAAAAACGTTCAAGGACTTTAGAACACATTTTCTGTGCAAACACCGATCAGTTCTAATTTCTTCTTAGTCTTTCGTACATGACCTTATTTGAAGCAGTGTATTCACTAGCACAATTCATGTTAATAAAATAGTTTTGAAAAGTATTTTCTTTCCCCGGTATTTCACTAGTTTGAAAGAGTTTTTCCAGAGATTAGTCTGAATTTCTGTTGCAACCTAAGCCTTTAATGAAGATACGCTTCTGAAAATAAGGCAGTTTCTCTATAATCTGCTCATGAATAGAAAACAAATCTTTGGTTTTTTGGTTAAAGTGGCAGAGAAGATTTTGCAAAAAGAAATACTAACTAATCAACACAAAGAGCTCTTAACAAGCAATGGGAAACTCCAAACCCCATCAAGGTAAATAGAGTACCTAAGGCACCTCAGGTTCAGATGATACAATCGTTGGCTTAGAGTTCAAGAATTCTATATACATGATTCTTACCATCTGGAGAGGGTAAAGCTGCAAATGTAATGGCCAACTATGTCTGCTGTGAGTCGGGAGAGTGATGAGGGAGATGGCCCACATGTCTGCTGTGAGTCAGGAGAGTGATGAGGGAGATGGCCAACATGCCTGCTGTGAGTCAGGAGAGGGAGATGGCCAAAATGTCTGCTGTGAGTCAGGAGAGTGGAGAGTGAGATGGCCAACATGTCTGCTGTGAGTCAGGAGAGTGAAGAGTGAGATGGCCATCATGTCTGCTGTGAGTCAGGAGAGGGAGATGGTCAACATGTCTGCTGTGAGTCAGGAGAGTGAAGAGTGAGATGGCCAACATGTCTGCTGTGAGTCAGGAGAGAATGGAGAGTGAGATGGCCAACATGTCTGCTGTGAGTCAGGAGAGTGAAGAGTGAGATGGCCAACATGCCTGCTGTGAGTCAGGAGAGTGATGAGGGAGATGGCCAACATGTCTGCTGTGAGTCAGGAGAGTGAAGAGTGAGATGGCCATCATGCCTGCTGTGAGTCAGGAGAGAATGGAGAGTGAGATGGCCAACATGCCTGCTGTGAGTCAGGAGAGTGATGAGGGAGATGGCCAACATGTCTGCTGTGAGTCAGGAGAGTGGAAAGAGCTCATGAATGGGAGGACACTGGAGATGGTTCCATGGTCAGAACATGAGGAAACCAAGGCGACACCAGTGCATTTTCCAGATTCTTGATCCACTTCTCTTGGAGCAGGAACGTTCTTGACTTTAACTCCACTGCCTAATACACCAAGTGTCCAAGGTTTCACAAACGTAGATTTGAAGGAAAAAGAGAAAAGCCAAAACCCAAACCCATCAAATCTCCAAAGGCGACTTGGAAATGAAGAATACTTTACTGTCAGGATTCCTTCAGATTGGAGTAACAACTTAGCTAGCATGTTAACTCATTATACAGGTTCTTCCAATTCTCTCTAAAAACAGACCAAAACTGAATGGGGAAGTTACAGAAATCCCATTTGAGCATACATAAGGCCATAATGCTTAATGTGAACCACCACTGCTTGGAGAAAAAGACATCCAACATCCACTTCCAAGAGAAAGCTCTTGTCCAGTAGACTGTCCACTACCAAGTGGGGAGTGTGGTGCTTATACTTCAAAAACTCCTACGAAGCTCACATGCAAGACAGTACATTGAGATTTGTGACTGGTGTGAACATTTAAGGCTGTCATTTTCAAGTATCAATGTTTAGTGTTCCATTACCCAATCTGTGCAATAGACGAAGCTGTAAGCACAAATCCTGGAAGATAACAGAAGCTCGCTCAAGACAAGGAAGTCGTAGTTGAAGCAACAGCAAATTGGAACCTAAGAAAGGCCAGCAACGCTCTATGGGTTAATTATGCTTCCCAACTGCGTGAGTGGTTCGCATGGAAGCTTTGCCTACCACGACTGTCTGTTGCATGGCGTTTAGAATAAGGCAGATCCACAGCAGACTGAGGAAGAAAGCCACATGGTACCGGCCGGTTATCAAGGTGGTTTGCCTCCAGTACACTCTGGTGGCCTAGTCCTCAGAGAAGGGTTAGAGATGGCTCTAGTACACCAAATAAGCTTTACAAAAGAAACAAGAAAGTTTGCTTCCAAGGTTTTTTTTACACAGGGCTTTTTACTTTGGGACCCACATACCCTGTCTGTGGCATAAAATAAATCACCATTATTTAGTTCTGGTTTAATGAAGTGAAGCATGACTGGGGAAACCATCTCGGGAAGCCTGTAGTGTTCTGCTTGCCCTACACTCTAGGTGTGTGCATAAGCTGTGGGCTGCACCCTCTGCGGCTGCAGTACCTGCAGCTCATGGAAGCAGAGTACCCACACATTGCACGTAACATGCTTAGATTCTGTGTCTTTCCTCTGACACAATTGAAAAGTTCCCAAGGTTCAGTCAGTCTACTCACTTCTTGTTTCATTTGATGTACACAGCCAAAGTGGGAATTAGAAAAATGACCAACTCATTCAGAAAGCTAAACTGAGTTCAGGATTATGGCAAACTATGGCCTAACTTTTAAATTTGTACTTTAGCATGTATTTCATGCAGTTTGGGGAACATCAAACTAAATCTACAGTTGCCAGAAGCCTTGTTACCTTTTAGTGCACATTAACTAAAATGTGTACATTTTTAGTGTTCATGGTAAATGCAGTTATGATCTACTAAACTTTTGGCATTCTTTAAGAAAGCACATTAAGCTTCACTATAGAAATGTTTATGTTACACTTAATTTGTGCTCAAGGAACAATGAAACATTGGTTGGTTTTGATCTCATAATTCTTCCCTCAGGTGTGGCCCATCTCCTGTACACTTGGAGCGACCTTTGGCTACGTGGCTGGCCTCGTGAGCTCACCACTCTGGATATACTGGAATAGAAAGCAACTTACATACAAGAACAATTAAGAGGAGAAAGGGGAGGAGATATTTCTTTGTGCAGATTCCATAAGGGCTGTGCAGAAATGTGTCTGGTCAAAGCCAAGCAGTTCCATTTACAGCACTGTTGTTTTTTCAATGTCGTTTCAACATGATGTGATTGTAGCTTTTTAACTATGAAACCCCTGAGAGATTGTACCTTCTAGTTGAAATAAAGTATTTAGAGTAGATTGTGGCTTCAGATGCTGTTTGCTGCCGCTTAGACCTTTAAGAAACATTCTCAGTGAACTCTGGAGGATGCTGAGGACAGGTTCCCTCCCCGCTCAGGTTAAACTGCTTCATTGTAAGAGGTCAGGACATTGCTGTAGCATTTCCAATGCTTTCTGGGAGAAATGGACAGTTTCCTTGGCCACTACAGACTTTCCTCACGTAATCAAGCAACAGTTTATACATCTCGATCCTATTCTTTTTTTAACTGCGTGTTTCTTTGGAGTTAAAATGGCTATGATAGCCTCGTCAAAAACAGTCTTCAAACCCTTCTGGGTCAAAGCTGAACATTCCACATAGCAGCATGCGCCTATCTGGGAAGGAGAAAAAAAAAAAGCCACAATTATATAAAACAGTTTCATCCAACTCAGTAACAACACATTATACAGGAAGTTATAAAATACAGCTGTGCAAAAGAACCTCATTAGCCACATTCACAATACCCAGAGAGAGACAGTGGCTGAAATACTAGTGTATGGCCTTCCAGATTTCGCTATGAAAAATTCATTCATCAAATGTTAGATCCTCGCTACACATTAAGCAAGTGCTTCTTCAGTGCTGAGGACATGTCAGCGACTAAGGGGTCCTGCTGTGTGGCGAGACAGAGCTGCAGAGGGAAATGCCAGGATGGTGGTCGTCAGGGAAGCCTTCTCCTCAGCTGAGAAGGTTGAACAGTGAGGAACCCGAGGAGCCAAAACCCAGAGACCAGTGTGGGAGGCAGCTGGCATATCCAAGACACAGTAAAGAAGGCAGAGGTGGGAAGAGCACAGATGGGACTAGTCCCTGTGTAGACGTTAATCATGCTCGAGTCAGTTTCTCAGGATGGCCTGGCTGCTCTGCCCCTTACTGTTTTCTTCAGACTACATATTACCTTCTGGCACTCTAGCTCTATGCTCGCTACTAGAGTTGGTTTCTCTCCCTCAAAAAAAAAAAAAAAAAAGTTATCTCCGTAAGAGCAGGGTAGGAACTTAATGTGTTGTGGTGTTGTACCGTCACCTGGAAAGTAAGGATGCACAATTTCTATTCATTCTTCTTGGAGTGGAAGCTCATGTCCACTTCTTCAGACCTGGTGACTAGGTGGATGCTCTTGGCCCACTTTTCTGCTGGGTTATATGTCCTCTTCTGATGGACTCATTTTATGCAAGGGGTTCCTGCATACTAAGATGTTAATGCCCTACAAATCAACCTGGCTTTTATTTCTGGAAGCCCTTATGGTAGCAATATTTATGCAGTCAACTTATCTGCATTTATAACTTTTGCCTTTATGTATTTAGAAATTCCTTCTTTCCCCAAGATTATAAAATCAAACGCAAGGAATTTCTGAAGTGATTTGTTGGTGATATCCTTTCTCTTTGCTTTGGGAAAAGTTATCCTCCAGAAAGTTCTCTTGCTTCTTTCTATCTCCCAATAGTATATTTTAAAAGATCTTATTAGGTATAGTATTTATACAAAAAATACTATTAAGGCCAGTGGAGGAGAGGAGGGAGGAAGAGGAAGAAGAATTAGAAGACTCCAATGATCTTATAGTCAGATGGAGAGGAAAAGAACCTGGCTTTGGGCCTGGCAGCGGTGGCACATCCCTTTAATCCTAGTACTTGGGAGGCAGAGGCAGGCAGATCTCCGAGGTTCGAGGCCAGCCTGGTTTATAGAGCGAGTTCCAGGATGGCCAGGGCTACACAGAGAAACCCTGACTTGAAAACAAACAAACAAACAAATCTAGCTTTGGGGTAAGGGAAAATATGAGTTAAAAGGTATTCTAGAAATCTAGCCATAATTTTCTCTTTAGCCACAGATTTAAACTGTCACCTAATGTCACTCCAGATGCACCTGCAGGCGTCGTAACCGAAAGCCGAGCCTACTTTGGCACAGTACAAATGTTTCAATAATTAAGAAAGGTGTGAAGCCTCAGCACCTGCTTCTGGCTTGAAAGGCACCACAGTTGCAAGCATGGCAGAGGCAAACAGACATGTAGCCCGGAAGCCCAGCTCTGCCCTTTTATTACTGCCAAATCTCAGGCAAGTCTCCTTGACAGTTAAGAGCCCCCATCCCCCTCGTCATGGAAACAGGCGTCCCTCATGGTGTCAGTGCCGAGATAAGGGAGGTAGTGGGAGAGAGGACCCGGCAGTGCCTGGGAAACAACGATGTTACTTCACACGCGTGTGAAATCCGGCAGGGAGAAATCCAGCAGGGTCTCATTACCTCTTTTGCTAGCTTCTGCCCTTGTTCCACACAGACAGGTTTTTCCTTCATGTCATTCAGTCTTGCTAGAGTTTTGGGGTCATCTCGGAGATCAATCTAATTAAGAAAGATCAATAATGTCCTATAATATGTATTTAAAAGAAACCAGTGCATACAGTCCCATTTAATCTCCACATATTAAAAAAAAAATAAACGAAACAAGATTTTTAAAGATACTAATATAATTTTGGGAAATTAGTTTTATGTAAAAATGAGAGGAATTATCACCTGAAACTTATTAAGCGCATCATTTGCTAAATCATAGGGTCTTTTGTCCGAGATCAACCCCCCAAAACTAGATGGAGAGCTTCTTCTTAAATGAATAAAATCAAAGCAGACACACCTGAGTTCCTATTAATAGGAAGGGGACATTTGGTGCATATTCCTTCAGTTCCGGGACCCACTCCTCTTTCACGTTTTGAAATGAGGCTGGATTTACCACAGAGAAGCATATGAGGAAGACGTCAGTCATGGGGTAAGATAAAGGCCTCAGACGATCATAGTCTTCCTGTGGACAAAGAAAAGGAAAGTCATTATTGACACTTACATGTCTATGGGTTAGTAGCAATAAATACATTAGGTCACATGGTCAAAAAGGACATCCAGGAATGTCTCTCTCCAGGAAATAAGAGGATTCCATTTGGTTTTGTTTTTCTTTTCTTAAAAAAATTAACAAATCAAATAAAAACTAAGAAAATAGAGGGGTGGTGGCACACTCCAGTAATTCCAGCATTTGGGAGGCTAAGGAAAGGAGGGGGGGGGATTCTAGGCCAGCCCTGGGCTACAGAGTGAGGTTCCCATCTCCACACACACACATACTCACACACGCACACTCGCGCGCACACACACACAGAGTGGGAGGGGAAGAGATAGGAGGATACATTGTGATTCCTAAAGCTGTCACTGCGGAGTATGTACAAAGACCCAAGGTGAGCTCAATGCTAAGAATTCTAACCTAATAACACACACTGAATCTGTACGGCAAATATTGCAATAGTCCAGGTACGGACCAACATGGTCTTTCACGGACTTCATCCTTAAAACCGCGATTCACATACAGAGGCACAGAAGGCGAAGAACCTGTAAGGGTGGACCGTCATGGTAAAGATGCTGGGCCTCCCACCGGGGCTCGACTGTGGGGCAGCGTTCTTAGTGCCTTAACGAACCTTCGCCGAGCGAGACTCTCAGTTTTGCTCTTCTGGTCCTCCCCCTCCTCCCATTCCCTTTGTGTATGTAGCACATGGATATTAAAGACAAAAATTATGTCACAGCCCCTGCCACTTCCCTTTCCCAGATGTTTTCTTGGGTAGTTGCCAGTGTTTTTTTCTTTGCATGTATACACCTGGAACTGCACGCATCCACAAAGCCACACACATGATCAAACAATGCATTCTGCTCTGCAACTACCTTGTCCAGTCGGCCTGGTGATCTCTCCACACCCAAATGCACTGGACAATATATTACATGGGCTACACCGCTGCTTCATGGCTCTTCCTGACTACACTGGACTATTACATGGGATACACAGCTACTTCATGGCTCTTCCTGACTGCACTGGACTATTACATGGGATACACAGCTACTTCATGGCTCTCTTCCCCAAGGTGTTTTAGTTTCTGCCACACAACGCAGTGACGATCTCATTTTGCATGGACTATTTTCTGTGACACTAAATTCTACTTATATTCTAGCAAGAGAGTAGAATCGGGATTCTGTTTCTGTTGTGGCTGGACTCATCTGGTTTCATGGAAACTGGTTTTGGAAGGAAGACTACCTTCTTAAGGGACCCACTTTACTACTAGAACAGTATAAATGTGGAACTAAGAGGATGTTTTAAAAGACCGTCCATTTAGTTCCTGCAGTATTACTTCCCTACTGAAGAATTTTCCTTTCATGCCATCTGACACTTTTCTCATTATAACTTTCAATTCCAGCAGCTCTCCCCTAATTGTGAGTGACTAGTTTGAAACCCCATGATACCAAGTCTGCAGATGCTCCAAGTCTCTTCTATAAAATGGTGCCGTTACTTATATGTAACCACTATACACCTTCGTGTACATTTTAAATCACTGACACATTGTTTATAGTGCCTAATGCATCATAAAAGTCACCTTACTATATTTCTTAGTGTCCTGGCTAGTTTTATGTCAACCTAACACAAGCTGGAGTCACCGGAGAGGAGGAAGCCTCAGTTAAGAAAATGCCTCCAGAAGATGGGGCTGTAGGCAGGCCTGTAAAGAATTTTCTTAATTAGTGATCAATGCGGGAGGGCCCAGCCCATGGTGCCATCCCTGGGCTGGTGGTCCTGGGTTCTATAAGAAAGCAGACTGAGCAAGCCATGACAAGTAAACCAGTAAGCAGCACTCCTCCATGGCCTCTGCACCAGCTCCTGCCTCCAGGTTCCTGCCCTGCTTGAGTTCCTGTCCTGACTTCCTTCAGTGATGAACAGTGATGTGGAAGCATAAGCTGAAATAAGCCCTTTCTTCCTCAAGATGCTTTTGGTCATGGTGTTTCATCGCAGCAATAGAGACCCCAACCTAGACACTCAGGGAATGATGGCAGGAATAAAGATCTGCACATTACGTATCTATTTCTCCCAAATGTTTTCAATCCATCATTGGTTAAAAATCTTATAGTTAGATCTGAAACCTGCAGACACGAAGGGCTGACGTGTAACATCTAAATCCTTGTCTGTGGAAGTTAACTCTTCCTATTTTTCTGTGAGTCTTTCAAATGACAATATACATATACTCTACAGGCAGCTTTCTTCATCTCGCTGGCTCATCCAAGGGCATATACTCTGTAGCCACAGGCAGTGGAACTTTCTGAGTTGACAGACCAGGACAATGGGGAAATGCCATCCCCACACTGCTACAATCTTTAAGCTTCTTTATTTTATTTATCTATCTATCTATCTATCTATCTATCTATCTATCTATCTATCTATCTATCTATCTATCTATCTATCTAATGTGTACAGGTATTTTGCCTATATATGTATATATACATATGTATGCGTGTGTGTGTGTGTGTGTGTGTATGTATGTGTGTATATGTGTGTGT